CTCCCTCCCTCTACCCTCCTCTACCCTCTCTCCCTCCCTTCTCTTCCCTCCCTCCTATGAACCACTCTGTTCAGCTGACAGCAGGCCTTAACCCCACTTTCACCCCATCTATCTCTGTGTGAGCCATCTCAGATTTTCCTCAACATCCAAAACCAAAACAATTTACCTGTTTGGAGTGAACTGTAGTTTTAATTTCCGATTTCTTGAGGAAAACACAGCCTTTGAAAGGAGTTTCTATGATGAAGTGAAATTAGGTCAGAACAGAAGAATTTACATTCTGAGTAGAGGTCATTCCCTTCACGTCCATCCCCCATGAATACTTGTCCAGGGCTGGCCCCCTCTCACCAGTCCTACCCCCCCAACCCCAACCGCAGGTTCACATGGGTTCAGACTGTGACTATGTTGGTATTGCTCAGGAGAGGGCACTGGAGAGGGTGGGTGCTGGGTGCTCCCTGAGGGCAGGGGAGGCCTGGGCTGGATACAAGGGGAGGGACTCAGCCCAGTGCCTTTTGCAGTGAGTCAGCTGGCTGTAGGATCGATGTTGCTGTAGGCCAGAGGACCCTTTGATTTTGAGGGGGTTGTCTGTGGATGACCATAGTTCACCTGGTCACCTTATAAACCAGAAGTAGGACTTTCGTCACCAGCCAGAGATGACTGGTTTCTGTGCCCCAGAATCATCCCAGTTAGGATCCCAGGATCCTGTTGTATACAACAATGCCGCTGGGTCTGCCCAGGTCGGGGGCTCTCCCGCCCCTTATCTGAGGCACCTTCCCAATTTCAAGGTCTGTGGAATGGCAAATAGTAATCCCAGGGGGGCTCAGGGTAGGGAGGTTGCAACTTGGGGGAGCTGTATTTCCCCAGCGTTCCTCTCAGGGCCCCGCCCTGCCTAGTGTAGGCCACCTCTCTCTTGGGGAGGAGAGAACCCAGACATGCTTAACCCCTCCATAAACTCCATTTCCCTGGTCTTTCTCCTGGTTTTGTGGGCAAGGACTTTTGATGCAGCTGTGTTCAGGGGAGACAGTCAAAAGACTATAATGCAGGAACACTGAGCAAAGGATCTCGGAGGCAAAACCCTTTAGTTGCTGAGGTGGTCCTTGGGGAGCCCTGGGGGCTGAACTTGGGGCAGCAGGTTAACGTAGTTTAATGTTTTAACAGCAGGTGTATTTGGGTGCACACTGATTGAATATAAGCAGACGATGTGGCAGGAAGGTTTGCTGCCATCTGTCACACGGCTCCAGGCAGCGGGCCCCATGAGGGGCCCTCAAGTGGGCCCACGGCTTCTGGGGAACAAAGAAGTTTGAAGCTTAACTCACCCAGGATACTGAGACAGAGGAGGTGTTACTGGGCCTCAGCAGCACTATGGAGCCTGGCTGGATGACTGTGGCTGTGTGACGGTCAAGACGGACAGTGGGAGGGGCAGGGGTGCTGATGGTCAGTCCCATTCTTCTTCGGGGCTGTGTCGAAGCCTGAATGAGGTTAAAGCATAAAATGTGTGGGCAGGGATAGAAGATGGCTTTTTTTAGCTCCCAGCTTAGAGGAGTGGGGAAAAGACCATCTTAGGAGTCAGGGTGTCTTGAGTTTTTGTTCTAGCTCTGCAGCAACTTGCTGTGTGACCTTGGGAAGGTTACTTACCCTTACTGAGCTCCTTGGAGGTGAGATTACACCCTCCTTCTCCTGGGCATGCATGGCAGGTAAGAGCATAGATTTTGGAGCTAGGGTCCTAGCTCTACCACTTGCAAACTGTGTGGCCTGAGACAAGTTTCTTAATCTCTCTGTGCCTCAATTTTCATACTTGTAAAATGGGGGTAATACTTATGCCTACCCTATAGCGTCTTTGTGGGGATAAAAGGAGTTAATTTATATATAGTGCTTAGAACAGAACCCAGCACCCTGTAATACTATTGTTATCTATTGTGGTTATTGTTATTGCTTGTCCATCAGGTGCCATATTCTAAGAGCCTTTGGAGAGAGGACATAGAGCATGAGTTTTGGAGTCTGGGCCTGGGTTCAAATCGTGATTCTGCCACTTACTGAGCAATGTGAGCTTAGGCAAGTGAGTTCACCATTCTGAACCTCAGTTTGCTGATGTATGAAAAGGGGTGAGAGTGCAGGGTTGCTGAGAATTATGTCCACGTAGGTGGAGAGACCTGGTACACAGCAGCTACTCACTGTGCCTCAGTAGGTGTGCCTTAGAGGGTGGGTGTCTTGGTCAGTGTGGATAATAATGACAGCCACGAGGCCATGGTCACTGGGTGGAGCACTGAGCTAAGTACCTTACTTGAATCATCTCTAATTCTCACAACACCCATAAAGCAGGTGAGGTGATTTTATGAGTCCATAGGAGGAAACTGACCAAATGGGACATGTCCATGTGGCCTGATCCTGCTCACCACCCCAGAATCTTTCCTGAGATCCTGGCCAGGGTGCTGGGGGAGAAGCTGGCAACCCGCTCACCTTGGGCCTGGGCTCCAATTCTCTCAGTGACAACAGCTGAATGAGGTCGGTAGCCTGGGAAAAGGGCAAAATGTGTGTTAGCCTTTAGAATCCTTAAATCTGTTTTGAACAGGTTTGGGGGGATGTTAGTTGGGGCTCAATGAGATGTAATTACCCCCAACTGAATGTACCACCTGCACACTGGTCAGTCTCAGCATGGGAGGAGCCATTCACCTGGCTCCTCATTATGATTTATCTGGAAAGAGTAACCTTTCATTGTTTCAATGATCCCCCCACACACATATTTTATTGTGAAAATTTTTACACATGCATCAAAGGTGAAAGAACTTTATAGAAAACATTTGTATACTTATCACCTAGAGATTCTTCTATTAATATTTCCCTATATTTAAAGCAAGTATATCACATTTCTATCCATTTACCTATGCTGCATTGATTTTATATTTCAGTGTTTACTGTGTGCCCTTCAAATAGTATACTGTCCATAGTCCTTGTCCTTAAAATGGGGGAGACAGTAAACACGCAGTTAAATAGATAAGCATACACATATACATATGTGTGTGTGTGTGTGTGTGTGTGTGTATATATATATATATATATATAAAACTTTGCATATATAACTTTATTCATACACACAGAGTAATCAGTGTTTTGAAGGGAAAAGAACAAAGAGAGAGAGAGAGAGAGAGAAAGCTTCCTTAGATATTTAGATGAAGTGATCAAGGAGGGGCTTTCTGAGGAGATGACATTTGCACTGAGACCAACAGTGGAGGGAAGAGAGTTCTGGGCAGAGACCAGCATGTGCAAAGGCCCTGAGGTGGGAGCCAGTTCAGCCTGTGTCTGGAGTGTAGTAGGTGAGGAGATAAGGCTGGAGAGGTGGGCAGGGGCCAGATCATGCAGGGCCCCAGGAACTGCAGAGGAGACTGGATTTTATTTAGAGTGTGATGAGGAGCTGCTGGAAGCTTTTGAACGGTGAAGTATCTGAATTTCTCCCTCATGTGGTTCCCTCATCGACCCTGGGAAATTGTCCTTCTTGCTGACCTCTGTGTGTGCCTCTGTCACCACTCAGGACACCTCCTTAGAGATATCTTCACTGCCTTCAGTGTCCAGGGAAACCCTCTCATCTCTCCACCAGTTACTTTCTGATCCATTGCTCTGCTTAGTATAGGTAAGTTAAATTATTTTATTTATCTGACTGTTTTTTTGTTTGGTTTCTACTCCCCAATCTGACTGAGTTCTGCAAGAGCAGGGACTAGGTGTGCACAGGGCCTGGCACACAGTAGGCCTTTAATAAATATTTGTGCCATAGTGAATGGGTAAGTATTGTGAAGAGAGTAACTTCCTTGTTTAAGGAAGTCTTCTGAGAGGAAGGGACTTCTGCACTGGAGGAGTTATCCAGGTGAGGTCCAGAGAGGAGAAGTGACTCCTAGGCCACCCAGAAAAGGATTTCTGCCAGCTATGCCTTGGTTTCCTCATGGGAAAAGTAGAGCAGTAACATTTGCTATGTCTCACCCTCACTCCCCTTCCTCAGGCACTCACCGTGGAGTCCTGGGGGTCCACGCAGATGTCCTTGCTGGTGTAGAGGCAGGACAAGATGTCATTGTAGGCTTCCAGCCAAAAGGCCAGGTCTGCCATGCTGCCTTGGGCTAAGTTTGGGAGGTGCTGGGGGGCCAGGAGGTCAAACCTTGGGGCTCTCTGGCCTGGGCCACAGGGAGTCACAAGCTTTAGGGAAATGAAGGAGAAATTCAGTGGGAACAGCCTCCTTGGCCAACAACTGGTTACAGCTCATATACTGAGGGCTCGGTCTGGGCCAGGCACAGAGTTGAACGTTTCCATGCACGCTCTCATTTGAACCTCCTAACAGCACCATGAGATAAGAACTACTGTTGTTACCATTTCACAGATGGAGACACTGAAGCTCAGAGGTGGGGCTGGGTTTTGAACCCACGAACCCTGTGCCCTTGCTTCTCCCTCATTTGACCCTACTCCCTTCTCTGCACCTTTGTTAACAGTGCCTCCTTCCTACCGATTCAAATCCTTCCTGTCCTCCTGACCCACCTCCCATCATTCCATGGGGACTGGAGTTGAGCAGCCAGCCCTGTCCCTTCTCTGGGCCTTGGTTTCCCCATTTGAAGAGACCCTTCCAACTGTGCGTCCTGCCCTTTAGTTGGAGCTTGATCCTTGCTCATGGGACATGCAGTGCTGTGGCCTCTCCTGCTCTCCAGAGATGAGGAAGGACCCCCTGGGCTCAGCACGAGCTCCTGAGGGTGGGGAGCAGGGTCTCCCCTTTATTCTCCCTCCTGTTCCTCCTCCCCCCTTTGGGCCTCCTGCCGGAGAAGCCCCATCACACTCTCCTCTTTGCCCACCTTCCCCCAGACCAGTGGATGTCCCTGGAAGGGCTGGCTCACCTGGACTTTCATCAGGATGGCCTCCTCTGTGAACTCCGTGGTGGTGACATAGTATTGGAAGTCTCCCGGGCCTGAGATGGTCGGGGCTACAATGAGGAAACGAAACTGGGGCTCAGCCTCCCCAGGGAGATGGATGGAAAGGCATGGGCAGGCAGCAAAAGAAATATGTGGGCTGGGCTGTGCTGCTTAGAATAACGGACACTTACTGAGCAACACCTGTGTGCCAGATTATATGTATTATCACAGTAGTCCACTCTGTGGGCCTATGATAATCCCATTGTACAGACTGGGAAACTGAGGCTCAGGGGGAAAATGACTTACCAAGGTCATAGGCATATTGCTCTTTTACTCCCCCACTAGAAAGTACACACCCTCTGGGCAGGGTTTGTGTGTTTTGTGTCCTGTCATGGTCCCAGAACCTAGCACAGTTCCTGGCACACAGTATGGGGACAACAAATAAGCCGGTCCCTTGTCCTGGAGCAACGTACGCAGAATGATGTGCAGCAGGCCCTCTAGCAGTGGGCTGACCAGGGCCCTGGCCACGGGGCACACCTGGAGGGAAGGCATGAGGGCGTCTTCACCGGGGCTGGGTGAGGTCCAAGGGCTCTCCTTTGGGGTTGCACCCTTTTCCAGGGGGAGGGAGAGGTGAGCAACTCACTATCTTCTGCAGGAGGAAGGGCAATGCCTTGTCCAGGACACCTGTCACCATCGTCAGAGCTTCATTCACCAGGAGGGGGTCCGTCCTAGGGGCGGGGAGCGCAGGTGCGGTTTGAGACACCAGGGGACAGCGACTGAGGCCATAGCGGGGAGCGCAGGGCAGCGTGAGGAAGGCCCCCTGGGCCTCTGTAACACGGAGGCTCAGAGCTGCCGCTTTCCCTGCCCGTCCTCCCTCTGCCCCTCTCTCCTCCCCTTCCTTTTCTGGTTTCCTCCTTCCTGCCTTCCTGCTTTCTGCCCCCCTTCCTCCTCCTCTTTATTTTTTCCTGATTCTTCCTCCCTGCCCGTCTCTTTATTTCTCAGAGGGAGAGATCGCAGCTGGCCGTGGAAGTCACAGCCGGCTTCATGAAGGAAGTGGCTTTTGTGCTGGGTAATATAAGAATCATAGCTAGTGGCTGCTTTTTTGTGGCAGGTTTTATGTTAAGTGGGTCACGTGTTAACTCATTGGTTACCCACAGCCACCCGTGCTGGTGGGGTTCTGTGACAAACCCTGTTTTGCTTGTGAGAAACTGAGGCTCCAGAAGCCAGATAGCTCCGCTAGGGCCCAGGGTTAGAAAGCAGTCAAGCCGAGATGTGATGCACACGCTTAGCCATGGCATTGAACATTGAGGCTGGAGACACTGATGGGCGGTGTGTGCAGCCTGTGGCCTTGGAGATCACCCTGTCCCTGCTGCCCTTGGTTACTCTACACAACTAGACTGGGAGAGGCAGCCTCAGCCCCGAGTCTGTGAGGGACTGAGCAGCAGGAGCAGTGTGGGAAGGCCTGGCATCGCCCTGCCCAGCGGAAGCTCAGGAGTGGCCGGTACCCACCGTTCCAGAACCTTGGTGCTCAGGAATCCTAGTGCAGTATGGCACTCCTCAAAGGCCAGCTTGGTCTTGTTCCCCGCCTGTGCCAGCCGTACCCCGATGCGGATGTTCTTGATCACTTGGAGCCGCAGGATCCTGTAGGGGCAGCGTGTCTAGGCAGGCTCCAAGCCACAGCCCAAGGTTGAGGCTAGAAGTCACAGGCTGGTGGCCTGCAATTGCCTGGAGGGCTCAGATGAAAAACTAGGAGAGTTCATTAAGACATGGAGTTGACACTTTGGAAAACCTGAAAGATCTGACGACACCGAGCGAGCTTCCTCATAGGGTGGCAATCACCAGGGGGACTGAGAGTGGCCTTGAGATGGGCCATATGCTCTCCAGTTTGCTACAGTACCCCAGGTAAAGGATCCAGTTGCATTTTACTGCACACTACCAGGGTGATGACATGTTTACTGTTCAGCAGAGAAATAGTTCTCTGTGCCCACATCTCTATCTAAGAGCTATTTCTTGCCCTGGCTGGGGTTGTCTAGTGGTTAGAGCACTGGCCTGCAAACCAAAGAGTTGTGGGTTCGATTCCTGGTCAAGGGCACGTACTTGGGTTGTAGGTTCGATCCTTGGCCCTGGACAGGGCACCTGTAGGAGGCAACCAATTGATGTGTCTCTCACATCAATGTTTCTCTCTCTCTCTCTCTCTCCCACCCTCCCTCCCTCCTTTCCACTCTCTAAACATAAATGGAAAAAATATCCTCAGATGAGAATTAGCAACAACAGAAAAAGAAATATTTCTTTGTGCTCCTCTATCAAAAAGGGAAGCTAGACCAAGAAACCACATTTTACAGGAAAACGCATTCCAAAAGGGCATTTGAGACTATTGTTTCATGTGCAAATGCCACCCCTGTCACTTCCTCTGTTGGCTGTTGTTTCTGCAATCCCAGGTGGGCATCCACCTCCACAGGTAGGGAGCAATCTGAACTCCCAATGGGCACAGCAGGGGACTCGATCATCCCCATTTTATAGATGAGGAAACTAAGGCCCAGGGAACAGCCGTACTTGCTTGTGTCGCCTGGGTGGCGAATGGGACTGGGGTCCCGGTATGCTGAATTCCAAGGTGAGCTTGAATTAGACCCTCCTCGGACCATCCTGTTAATGCATCTTTCTTTTAGGCCGATGGGGCACTTGTCTTGCAACATGGAAGTCAGAGGGTTTTATCTCAGCTTCTGCTGCTGACTCACTGTGGGACCCCAGGCAGGCTCCTCTCCCACTAGGTGCCTCAGTTTCCCCATCAGTAAACATGCTTTGAAACACGTTCAAGTGGACGGGATTACTATGATGCATATGGCAACACAGGCAGCCAGCTTCTGCTAGCGGCGCACAGCCGCCTGGCACTGCTGAGGGAGGTGGGGGAAGCGCCCAGGGCACTCACCTCTGTAGCGACAGGTACAGTTTGCTCCGCAATGTGACCTGCAGCAGGCTGTCGCTCAGGACTTGCAGGGTGACCTCGGGTCCTTTGGCGTCTTCTATGACCAACCTGTGAGAGGCATGGATGGTGTTGGCACGGCCTGGTAAGGCCTCGGTGGAGTGTGTATTGGCTAGAATAGGAGTGGGCCATAGGAGGGGTGGGCAGCTTTGGGACAACTGCCTCCCTGACCCCAACCCAGCTGCAGGACACTGGGCTCTAGTTCTAGCCTCCAGGCTCTAGTTGCCAAGCCTTGAAGAGCAGACAAATCCCTTTTCTTCTCTGGACCTCAGTGTCTCACGTCCTATCAGTGGGGAGGGCACAGCGGAGGAGCTCTTTAAGCACATTTAACCTGCCTGAACTCAGCAGAAGCATTCCGCAGAGGAGAATGGGCAGGCAAGACCCAGAGAAAGTGTGGCTGGTGTCCCC